GCGGATGTCTTCCCTACATCGGTTAACCGGTTATGAACACCCCTACAAAAAATCACTTCCTAGTACATTATTTAATCAAATGATTATCTGAAGAAGACAGAACAAAAATGAGAAGGTTTCAAGTCTGTTGTAACATGAGACCAAAATAGATATATGCAGTATTCAATCCAAGCAACCACAAATTTACAGCAATAATCAATAAAGCAAATAAGGACAAGAAAAGTAAAGAACACCAGATTTATTATGGTTCAATAATCTATTAGATTACCTACATCCACTCTTCAAGGGTAAAAGAAAAGTATTCACTATGAGATATGAGAAATCTTGCAGAGATTAGGTTCACCCCTTTTTACACAAGGCACACCCGAGGAAACCCCTCTGATTTACACCCGTATACCCAGATGCTCTCACCACTCATACATCATCAAATAGGTAGAATTAGTGACAGATTTATACAACAACAAAAGGTAAAACAGATAGGACAGCTAAGACCTACTACCACCGTTTGATTCTATCAACGTTCTTCAGATTTCCAACACAACAGATTCTAACAGCTTTCTCTCTCTGTTAACCAAGAGAGAAAGATCAAGAATGAGCTGCGCAAAACCTAATTCGAATTAGGTTTATTGAAGATACCAGAAAGATGGAAATGCCCCTTAATTCTTTAACAATTAACTTTGACCACCCAAAGGTAAAAGTTGACTTCCACATGTGTACATATCAATTGCCACATCACAACAAATCTCCACCTTGGCATTTGATCTTCTCTCTTTCTTACTGCCCTGGAAAAATTCCTCTAGTTTTCTTCAATATGCAGAAGGCTCTTAAAAAGCCTTAACTTATCCAAAGTCACTAACTTAGTGAACATATCTGCTGGGTTCCCCTTTCCAGGAATTTTCTCCACCTTAATGACTTTATCTTCAATCAGATTTATGATGAAATGCAGCCTAACATCAATGTGTTTCGACCTCTCATGGAAAACCTGATTTTTGCACAGAAAAATTGCACTTTGACTGTCACTCTTGATTGGAACTTATTGCTGAAACAGTCCCATCTCATCAAGCATTCCCCTGAGCCACATTGCCTCCTTAACTGCCTCTGTAATTGCAACATACTCTGCTTCTGTGGTGGATAAAGTTACAATAGCCTGCAAATTAGCTTTCTAGCAAACCAGATTATTCCAAATGGTAAAACAGAAACCAGTCATGGATTTCCTATTGTCTACATTTCCAGCATAATCAGCATCCACACATCCCATGATGGGATTCTCCTGAATTTGCCCTCTGTTGTAAATAATACCAGTAGACAGTGTACCCCTCACATATCTGAGCAGCCATTTTACAGCTTCCTAATGACTCTTTCTAGGGTTACTCATAAACCTACTTATTGAACTAACTGCAAATGCCAAATCTAGTCTGGTACAAACCATTAAATACATCAGACTCCCTATTGCATTTGCATATGGGATACAAGCTATTTCCCTTTTTTCTTATTCAGTTTCTGGACATTGGGTTACACTAAGCTTAAAATGGGTGTTTTGACAAGTTTAGAGTCAAGCATGTTAAACTTCTTGATTAATTTTTCAGCACACTCTTTTTGTGACAACACAAGACTCCCAAATTTCCTATCCCTTTCAATGTTCATACCCAGAATCTTTCTAGCTTGTCCTAAATCTTTCATCTCAAATTGTTTACTCATCTCCCTTTTGAATCTATCAATTTTAGAAAAATCCTTACAAGCATTTGAAATAGAAACACCCATCAAAGCTACTTCGGATGAAACCAGCATTCAACATAAAATAATCAAATTTTCTATACCACTGCCTAGGTGACTGCTTCAACCCATACAAAGATTTTTTTTTCAAAAAACAGACTTGGTTTTTAGGCCCCTTTTCAAACAGTTCAGGTTGTTCCATTAGAATTTTTTCTTCTAAATCATCATTTACGAAGGCTTTTTTGATGTCTAACTGCTCTAGTTCTAAACCAAACTGAGCTACCAAGGATAACAATATTCTAATGGTGGTATGTCTCACTACTGGTGAGAAAATCTCATTGTAGTCCACCCCTTCAACCTGTGTAAACCCTTTTGCCACTAATCTTGCTTTAAACCTAGGTGCTTCTACCCCTGGTATGCCCTCTTTCCTTTTGAAAACCCATTTGCATTTAACCACCCTACTGCCTTCAGGTTTGTCAATCAAAATCCAGATTTGGTTTTTGATTAAGGAATCATACTCTTCTTGCATGGCCAGTTTCCACTGCCTTGATTCTCTACAACTCATGGCTTCCTTAATAGTTCTAGGTTCCTCATCAATTTCTTCAGCAACTTGAAAAGAAAAAGCTACCATATCAGCATGTGAGTACCTACTAGGTAATCTGATTTCCCTTCTTTCTCTATCTCTAGCTAGTTGATAATTTTGCAAATCATTTTCAACCCTATCATTATCACCACTATCATCTAGGCTAGGTTCATCCTCTTGAGTTTGAACATCTACATTAGGATCTGGACCAGGACTGTTAAGGTTTGAAATTTCTTCACCTAAATCCAGGTTAATCATCTCTGCCCTAACATTAAACCTAACATCTCTACTAATTATGCATTTTTTGCTACAATATCCCAACACCTGTAACCTTTTATACCATCAGGATACCCTAAGAAGATACATCTAGTGGCCCCTGGTTTTAGCTTATCAGCTTTCTCATGAACAAAAACAGTGCAGCAAAAAACCCTAAGATTACTATAATTAGCAAGATACCTAGACCACTTTTCCATGGGTGTTCTGAAACTAAGAGCTGAGGAAGGGATTCTGTTAATTAGGTAAACAGCTGTGTGAGCAGCCTCTGCCTAAAACCTAGTGGGTAACTTAGAATAGGATAACAAGCTTCTAACCTTTTCAAGAATGGTCCTATTCATCCTTTCTACTAAACCATTCTGCTGGGGTGTGTGTCTTACTGTTCTATGCCTCAAAATTCCACTTTCCCCACACAGGGTATGAAACTCTTCATTGATAAATTCTAACCCATTATCAGTCCTAAGTTTCCTGATTTTCTTCCTAGATTGGTTTTCTATCATAATCTTCCAATCCTTGGACTTCCTAAAGGCCTCTACCTTTGTTTTCAAAAAATAAATCCATACACTCCTAGAGTAATCATCTATGATGCTAATGAAGTACCTACGTCCTCCCAAAGATGGATGTTTGGTTAGCCCCCACACATCAGAATGGATGTAGTCCAAAATGCCCTTAGAACAATGGTTTCCCACACTAAACCTGATTCTGCTCATCTTCCCATAAATACAGTAATCACAGAAATCTAGCTTCTCTATTTTATCCCCTCCTAAAGCATTCTGCTTACTTAACTCTATCAATCCTCTCTCACTAATGTGTCCCAACTTTTATGCCAAATAGAAGTCTTGTTAGGTTTCTGTGAGGTCACTGTTGCTGTTCCAGCAATAGTGGATCCATTTAGAATATATAAGCCATTCTTTTTCTCTCCTTTCATAACCACTAAAGACCTTTTAGTAACTTTAAGCACTCCACCTTGAGCCTTGTAACTAAAACCATTTGAGTCTAAGCTACCTAAGGAGATTAGGTTCCTTTTCAACTCAGGTATGTACCTAACTTCTGAAAGTACTCTTGAACTGCCATCATGAAGACTTAACTTGACATCCCCAATGCCTAAGACACTACACACTGCATTATTCCCCATTAGAACCTTGCCAGATTCTATTTTCTTAAAATTCATCAGTGAACTCCTATTTGGAGTCATGTGGAATGTGCATCCAGAATCCAAAATCCACTCATACTCAGATTCTCTATCAGAAGCTACTAGGACATCAGAGCTTTCATATCCGTCTGAAGCTATATCTACACTGCCACTAGTCTCTTTCTCTCCAAATCTTTTCTTTCTATCTGGACAGTCTCTTTTAAAGTGCCCTTCCTTATGACAGTGAAAACATTTCCTCACAAACTTGGACTTGGACTTAGATCTACCCCTAAAATGACCTTTCTTTGACATTCTTTTCTCAAACCTACCTCTGATATTCAGCCCTTCTCCATCTAGCTTACCCTCATTTTTAAACTCAGCATCCTTAGTAGTAATAGCTACCACTACTTCATCTAGTTTAAGGGTTTGTCTACCATACTTAAGGGTATCAACAAAATTTGAGAAAATTTTGGAAAGAAAATTAATAAGGATCACAGCTCGATCTTCATCCTCAACTTTAACACTAAGACCTTCTAAATCCTGTACTAGTTTCATAAAGTCATTCATATTATCACCTAATATTTTGTTTTCATCCATTTTAAAACTGAAAACTTTCTGTTTTAAAACTAACCTATTAGGAGAAGACTTTGACAGGTATAGAGAGTCTAATTTTTCCCAAATTTCTGCTGGTGTTTTCATTTTCTTGACCTCTCTTAGGACTTTATCCCCTAACCCTATAATTAGAGTACTGTAAGCTTTATCTAACAGATCTTTCTTCTCCTTCTCAAACAAAGCCTCTGGTAAGCTATCCTCACCCTCTAAGGTAGCAGACAATCCATCCTTAACTAAAACAACCCTCATCTTCATCTTTCATAGCCCATAATCATTATCCCCTGTAAATTTCTCAACTTCGAACTTAGACATTTCTAGGTTTCTAACCTTCCTAGTTACATACAGTATAAAAGCCCCAATTTTCCAGAGACAAAATTGAAACCCTAAGTTACAAAGAGAAAGCTCCTGTGAAAACAGTCAAACCCTAGACTATTGCAAATTCGAAAAAATTGGACCTCACAACCTAGAGTAAGACCTAGGTTCTAGAACGTAGAACAATGCTCTGATAACACTTGTTGTAACATGAGACCAAAACAGATATATGCAGTATTCAATCCAAGCAACCACAAATTTATAGCAATAATCAATAAAGCAAATAAGGACAAGAAAAGTAAAGAACACCAGATTTATAGTGGTTCGGTAATCTATTACATTACCTACATCCACTCTTCAAGGATAAAAGAAAAGTATTCGCTATTCGATATGAGAAACCTTGCAGAGATTAGGTTCACCCCTTTTTACACAAGGCACAACCCGAGAAAACCCCTCTAATTTATAGCCATACACCCAGATGCTCTCACCACTCATACAACATCAAATAGGTAGAATTAGTGACAGATTTATACAACAATGAAAGGTAAAACAGATAGGACAGCTAAGACCTACCACCACCGTTTGATTCCATCAACGTTTTTCGGATTTCCAGCACAGCAGATTCTAACAGCTTTCTCTCTCTGTTAACCAAGAGAGAAAGATCAAGAATGAGATGCGCAAAACCTAATTCAAATTAGGTTTATTGAAGATACCAGAAAGACGAAAATGCCCCTTAAGTCTTTAACAATTAACTTTGACCACCCAAAGGTAAAAGTTGACTTCCACGTGTGTACATATCAATTGCCACATCACAACAAAGTCCATATTGGTCGGGCTCATTTTTTATTTTCCTGGGCGTCTTATCCTTCAATAAAGAGTGGTGTTATTTAAGCCCCACCAAATTGTTCTCACAGCTCCAATAATATTTTTTTTTTTTTTAAATTAGTAATTACTAGGAAGGGTATTTATTTTTTTAGTACACACCATGTACTAAAAATTGTGTAAAAGAGTTATGTAAGTGGAGCATTACTCATTCTGAATATCCTAAACCCTTCAATGTTATTTTCTACTACTGTAATTTGAAAGCTTTGTTTCGAAATTATGTTGTCATGATTAAAACATTTTTGTAGAGATGAAAGTAAGATGGATTCAAACAATGAATATAAAATAATATTGAACATTCCTATTAATGTTTCGGTTGATTTAGGAAATTCAGTTTAACATTCATCGCATGTTAATTGATATGTCAGGTAAAAAGTTTTTAAAAGTTAGAAATTGATTTGGATAAAAATACTGTTTATATGAATTTATAAGAAATAAGCCATCTAAGAAAGAGAACGGAGATTTTATCAAAAACGCAATTGAAATTTAACTTTGGAGATAAAATATGAATGTTGGAATTAACAAAGAGCAATTATATAATCAAATGATTTTAGTTTAGCATCTTCCATAAATTCCGGTTTAAAACCCAACCTTGCAAACTTGCGGGCCTTACAGTTCAAACTTATCGAACTTACCGAGCTTAAAGGATAGCCCTGGCGTATGGCCTGAGCACAGACTAGAACCCATTCACAGTGTATCCTCCATCAACGCAATAAACTTGGCCGGTGATATATGAAGCCGCTGGTAAGCATAGGAATGCAACCACTGCTGAAACCTCTTCAGGCTTTCCGGCACGCGAGATGGGAGTACGAGATATTATTCGATTTACAACTTCCTTGGCTCTATGATCTTCCTGGTTAAAGACAAAATTACCAATTAATACAAGCATCATAAGATTTATGTGCTCAAATATGGCACCAAGGTGGCATTCGGGGAAGTTTTTATTTTCAATCCACCCAAGCCACCGGACGACAGTTGTCGGAACGGTGCACGATCAGTTCGTGCGTCAATCTGACATTTTTTTGCCAGATCTACCATGGATCTAGCTAGAAACGACCATAATATGGCTGTCGCTAATGGCCAAAATATGGCCGTCAACGATGGCCAAAATTTGGCAGTTGGATCTGGCCAGAATCTGGTTGTTTTCGGCCAGACTGGTGTACGACCGACTAGATCCGACCAGTTATGCATTGTTCCAAAGTCGACAACTGGCGGTGGGAGCGGCAACGATTGACGGTGGTTGCTAGCAGGCGATGGTAGTCTGGGGTGGATTAATTTTCAGACTGGGAGCAGTGAACGGTAATTGTTTTTAGTTGAATAGAGTTGGAAAAATGTTCTAAGTTGAATAGAATAGGGTTATAGAAAACAAGCCTCCTCTCTTTTCATTTTCAACAGAAAAAAAAAATTTATTTGATTCAGATTAATTAATTTTCAGAATAATGATCCCAATAAGTAAACAAACAAACATTCTGTTTTTTAATCTAAATAGGGTAACGGAAAAATGATTCAAAAGAGTGAATAAGAGGGACAATATTAGTTGTGACAGAAAAGGATGAAAGAAGGTACGTATAGTTATATACCTCTGCAGCGTCGATGAGTGAGGTTTTAATCACCGCTGGTGCCACCGAATTCACACGAATATTGTCCTTTGCCCACTCGCATGCGAAGTTCTTTGCAACTTGATTCATTGCTCCTGAAGTGAAAAAGAAAAATTGTAAACCCCATTTATGACTTGCTTAAGATCAACCGCTTATAGTTATTGACTTATTGTTGCTTTCCAATATAAAATTTGAACTGTACCTTTAGTTGCTGCATAGATGGAACATAGGGGAACACCAATGACGCCTCCGACAGAGGAGATCAATACAATGCTTCCATTTTCAGATGCTTTTAAGAGGGGGTGCGCAAGTTGAGACAGATGGTAAGCAGACTCGAAATTGGTTGTCATTAAAGTCGAGAAATCCTCGGCAGTGTATTCTAAGATTTCCTTAAACAATCCTATTCCAGCATTGTTCACCTAACAAGAGTTGCAAGCTTATTTTAGTTCTGAAAGTGATGTAAACCTTAGATACTACGTACTGTGATGTAAAAGAAATTTTAATATCCATAATCATAATGAAAAATTTTCTTTTTCAATGAGTCAGGAGCAAATTAAACCTCTCATGGTATGGGAGATTATAAAGTTTTAACATTCCCCCGAATTTACCCTATATAGTTTATGATTTTCTTTACCACCAGCGGTTGGTTTTTTGGTTGAATTTTCAGCTGTCTCGATTGCCATATATAGTGGAAGGCTTACAGCTTTTGGGTTCTAAAAACTTACAAGGATGTTGAGCTTGCCATCAAACATCAAAGAGACAGTTTCCATCAGCTTCTCCCGCTCAGCTCTAATTTTCATGTCACAAACTGAGCCGCTTACTTTAAGCCCCTTACTCTTCCATTCCTGAATTCTGGCATCGAGCTCTGTTTGGTTACGTGAACATGTGTGTACTATTGCTCCAAATCCTGCTAGTTCTTCTACTATAGCATATCTGGCAAATATCAACCAGATAGCAAAAGCATAAATTCATTTGAAACAATTAAAATAGAACGTAAATATTCAGGATTACCAACAAAGCAACACTAACCCGATGCCTCTGGTTCCGCCAGTGACAAGGGCGGTCATGCCCTCAAGAGACCATCTTTGTTTTCTGACTTCCGACATTTTCTTTTTTCTTTCAATTGTTACTGCAAATTTCTTCTCAAATTTACGTATATAAGAACTGCTAGTATTTAAATGTAGGAGGCTGAAGCTTGTACAACAACTATCTGTGAAAAAGCTTTAGCGTTTTGTGGTCACGCAGCACAAAAATACAGTAAAAATGTAGAAAGGTTCGCAGCACCAAAATTAAACGTAAAAGTTAAAATGCTTTCGTCACACAACACTAAAATAAGAAAATAAAATAAAATACAATACTGAAGAAATCATAAACGTTCAAAATGGGCCGGCCTTGTTCAGACTGTAGACAATTATAAAACAATAGTTTAGTCATTTGACTCATTTCCAGTCTGGCCACTGGCCAGTCGCTCTCGTTCCCGAATATATTCTCCAATTGCTCCGTAACCTCCGTTTAATTACAAAAGCAGCCTGTGTTCTTAAATTGTTAATTAGTACTAGAATCAATAATATATAAAGTTAAAATCTTAATAGATAAAATATAATCATTTTATATTCTATGATTAGTGTTGTATATACATAAAATAATTACATTAGTTGGAATCAGAATTTTATATTCATAATGTAATGGTATTCATTTCTTAAAGATTATCATCAGAGTGTTTGTTGATAATTATGACAATGATTATTAAAATAATATTGTGGTGGTTACTTAATAAATAGAAAATTATATTAATTATGATTGAATAATTATGTAATTATTTTCCGAATAATACTATTCATCCCGAATTTTATATCTCAAAACTGTATTATCACATTGATATTGTCATATCATGTTATGCATCATCTCTTTATTTACATGTCAATACCGCATATAATAACATATCATTTAGAAATATGAAATTTGAGATAAATTGTAAGAAGAATAATATTTTTATTTCTTTTCTATTTTATCCGTATTGGAAGAGCTTCTTTAAAGATAAATGTTGAGTTAATGTAGTATTACTCTTTAGCAATACTACTAAGACTTAGGTACTGATCTTTGAACCCCACTTATTTGATCAGTTGATCCATTTAAATCGTAAATTTGTAATAAATTTAAAATAAATGGTACTCAGTTAAAGGGTGGGTGTACTTAGTAAAATTCTCGTTTTTGTATAAAGAAATTTACAATTTTTGTCTTTCACTACAATTCATTAGGATCTCTCATATTTAACAAATTAACATTCTTTTTTTCCTTCTAATAATTCGATTTGCTGTTTTTATCAATCTTTTTTATATTGATCAGATCTATAGTTTTGATAAGTGTTATGCCTCAAAAAGTCAAGCTTATGTCAGCACAATTAATGTCTCTCTGTACCAGCTGCCAAGCCCATACTCCAAAGATATTCTCACCAACTTTATCTCATTTCAAAGAGATGAATGGACGAGAGCCTTCCATGTGTCAAGGCAGTTTGCAAAAGCTCTCATTGCATTGAGTGCAAATGTGAATAAATGGATTTTCTCTTCCCGAAGAAGGGAGGCTGGTGGTGGGTGAAGATTTAGCTTCAATTCTTTCTCTCTGTAAAAACACTGTATTTCTTCATCTTTGTATGCCTTACGGGCAAATTCATAGAAATAGTGAGAGATCAATAAAATAACAGTGGATGTAGGAGTCGCTTCTTGAGCATCCGAACCACTATAAAAAACCCTCTTGCCAATCTTTACTTATTTTTTCTGAAAATATATAATCTCAGCTCCATATTCAAATCTCATGGATCCATCACGTGTGTCTCCTGAGTCAGCTCAGCGTTTCCACGTGCGAGTCGTTGGCGTCCAAAATCATGCGTCAACAGTTTTGGTGGCCCATGCAGGTCCGATTCTTAAGCCTGCATCCAAGTTCCCTGATGGCGTGCTCAGATCTCAAACCTGCGTCAGAATTCTCCAATGTGTGGCCAGATCGCAGATCGCACACGTTAGAATCTCCAATCGTGTGGCCAGATCGTATGCGTCAGAGTTCTCCGATCGCGTGGTCAGATCATAGATCGCACGCGTTAGAATTCTTCGATTACGTATCAGAATTCTCTAATCGCGTGGCAGATCACAGATCGCACGCATCAGAGTTCTCCGATCGCGTGGCCAGATCGCAGATCGCACGCCCATGCCATCCTGATCCTCAGATTCAGATCGCAAATCTTTAGCTTCAAATGCGTGGCCAGATCGCAGAACACATGCACAGAGTTCTCCGATCGCGTGGCCAGATCGCGCGCCCATGCCGTCCTGATCCTCAGCTTCAGATCGCGAACCTTAGCTTCAAATTGCGTGTTCGGATCGCTGATCACACGCTGAGATCGCTGATCTCTTGTGCTCTTGGTAGAGCTCGCTATGATCTCTCAGGTTGAGCTCGTTTTGACCTTTTCAGGTCGAGCTCGTTTGACCTCTAAAATTGAGGTCGTTTTGCCATTTGAGCTCGTTTTGACCTCTCAAGTTGAGGTCGTTTTGCTGATTGAGCTCGTTTTGACCTCAAGTTGAGGTCGTTTTGCTCATTGAGCTCGTTTTGACCTCTCAAGATGGGTCGTTTTGCTTTTTGAGCTCGTTTTGACCTCTCAAGTTGAGGTCATTTTGCTTTTTGAGCTCGTTTTGACCTCTCAAGTTGAGGTCGTTTTGCTCATTGAGCTCGTTTTGACCTCTAAAGTGAGGTCGTTTTGATCATTGAGCTTGTTTTGACCTCTCAAGTTGAGGTCGTTTTGCTCATTGAGCTCGTTTTGACCTCAAGTTGAGGTCGTTTTGTCATTGAGCTCGTTTTGACCCTCCAAGGTGAGGTCGTTTTGCTTTTTGAGCTCGTTTTGACCTCTCAAGTTGAGGTCGTTTTGCTCATTGAGCTTGTTTGACCCAAGTTGAGGTCGTTTGCTCATTGAGCTCGTTTTGACCTCTCAAGTTGAGGTCGTTTTGCTCATTGAGCTCGTTTTGACCTCAAGTTGAGGTCGTTTTGCTCATTGAGCTCGTTTTGACCTCTCAAGTTGAGGTCGTTTTGCTTTTTGAGCTCGTTTTGACTTCTCAGGTCGAGGTCGTTTTGCTCTCAAGTTGAGCTCGTTTTGCTCAGATTGAGCTCGTTATGACCTTTCAGGTCGTTCTCTACAGATTTCTGTCGTTTTCCTAACAGATTTCTGGTCGCTCCTACAGATTTTGGTCGTTTTCCTAACAGTTTCTGGTCGTTTTCCTAACAGATTTCTGATCATCTTCCTAACAGATTTCAGTTGAGACTGCAGCAATTTAGATCAAAGACTTAGTTTCTGAAGCGCGATTTGCACTTCAAAAACTGGGGGGCTTCTGTTATGCCTAAAAAGTCAAGCCTATGTCAGCACAATTAATGTCTCTCTGTACCAGCTGCCAAGCCATACTCCAAAGATATTCTCACCAACTTTATCTCATTTCAAAGAGATGAATGGACGAGAGCCTTCCATGTGTCAAGGCAGTTTGCAAAGCTCTCATTGCATTGAGTGCAAATGTGAATAAATGGATTTTCTCTTCCCGAAGAAGGGAGGCGGTGGCTGGGATGAGATTTAGCTTCAATTCTTTCTCTTGTAAAACACTGTATTCTTATCTTTGTATGCCTTACGGGCAAATTCATAGAAATAGTGAGAGATCAATAAAATAACAGTGGATGTAGGAGTCGCTTCTTGAGCATCCGAACCACTATAAAAACCCCTCTTGCCAATCTTTTTACTTTTTTTCTGCAAATAATATCTCAGCTCCATATTCAATCTCAGGATCCATCACGTGTGTCTCCTGAGTCAGCTCAGCGTTTCCCACGTGCGAGTCGTTGGCGTCCAAAATCATGGTCAACAATAAGCTTATATAACATCATTTTCATTTTTATGTTGTCTACTGTTATGATTCAAGCTTGATTATCTATCTAACATCCAATCACCCACACAGCACAATCAAGAACAAACACAGATTTATGTGGTTCACCTATCCAAAATTGGATGTCTATGTCCATATTGAGCTCCAAAATATTTGGGATTCATTGCGCTATCAATCAACCAATCTCACAATCATCACAACCAAATCTCACTCTATAACTCCTAATCTAGAGAAACTCTCCTTGGAATCTCTAATCTTTGAGAGAACAACAACCCTTACAGAGATTAAAAACACTAATCACTCACTCAAAGAAGTTACAATGATTTTTGGACTGAAAATGAAAACCCTAATAGAGAATAACATTCACCTGAAAAGAGAAGAAGACTGATCTATTGAAAAATGGCGATTGGGCTGCTATATGCCGTTGACCAGATTGGAGAGTGGCAATTGTGGATCAAACGTAAATCAACGCTCAAGACACTTAAGCAGCAGACCCAAAATGCAACGTTTACTTAGTTCCATGCGACACCGTTTTTATGGCTTCATTCAACGCTACAAATCACTTCTTTAGAAAAAAAATTTAAAAAAATCTTTTGAGTTATTGATACACTCATTTTTTTTAATCCTCTTTTCATGAATAATTAGAGAAATTTTGTTACGAATAATCAATCTTTTAATGAATTAAAAATAAGTTATTTTCTTTCATCAATAATAAATATATTTAACACAAACCTATTTATTTAAAATAGAAAAACATAATTAAAATAAATCTTCCTTATGTTACATCTGATTTATATTATATTATCTTTATTTAACTATTAAATTAATGGATTTTTTGGTTTGTAAGGATTCTTCATTTTTTGTAAGAATTAAATAATATAAGATGAATTTAAAATATAAAATTACTGTTAGAGTCATGAAAGTGACTTTATTTTGGTGATAAAAATACCTTATGTGTGATTAAATTGAAGTATATTGAGACAATTAAAGAATTTATGAATTTATTCACGAAAATCGTTTTCTAATATTTTTCTTATGAATTTAACGTGTTTGGAATGATTTTGGAAAGGATATGAGTTGATATTAGGTTGTGGTTTATGGATTAGGGGTGATTTTGTCTCATTTATGCTTTTTAGGGGGTAAATTGTAATATTTATAAGGGCTATTTTGTCACTTTTCAATCATGCAGGGACCAAAGTGATATTTTTTACTTTGTGTATAAAAGAAGATGAAGCGTCAAAAAGCCACAGCGCCGACACCCATCCACAGTATTTTCCAGCGACTCTTTCTCTCCCATTTCCAGTGATCTCCGGCGACCTTTCACCTTCCATAAGCACCAACCAAAACCACCGCAAATCACGCGAAACGCCGCGACTCTTCACATTCCGCCGTCACAACATTTTGCATTCTAGGCTAGATTTTGCCATTTTTCCGGTAACTTTTCAGCTCCCCAGGACTTGATCTTCCTTCCTCATGGTCGAATCTACCCATTCCAAGCTTCAGCTGTCGCGAAAACCGTCGAAATCTGTCATCTAGCCGTCGTGCCTCTTCATCTTCCAGCCGAGATCTTGCTCATTTCCAGCGACCCTTCACCTCCCCAGGACCTGATCTGAACTCCCCATCATCAGGGTTTTCCATCGGCACCTTTGGATCCCATTTCCGCCACCATTTTTCGGAAGACCCGCTGGAAAATTAACGTTTTTCGACGAGTGCGACTGTTCATATTTTGAACTGTCCGTTGGTCGTTTTCGCCCGTTCTTCGTATTATATCGCTATCGGTTACCTCCTCTTCGCCATGATCAGCTTCGTTTCCACCGTTTCAGCCTCCACCATCAACACCATGAGCGGCTAATTTCCCGGTTGTCTGTTACGGCGTAGGCGAGATCGTGATTGACTCCACAACTAGAGGTGGAAAAGTAACCCGCCCGGCCCGACCCGACCCGGCCCACGGCAGGTTGGTCCTAACCTGCCCACTAACAAAGGCGGGCCGGGTTAGGCCCGCCATTTTTGGGAAAATGGCTGGCCCAACCCAGCCGCCAACCCTAACCCGCCGGGTTAGGCTACGGGCCGGGCCAGGTTAGCCCTATTTTTTTATTTTTTATTTTATTTTGTTTTATTTATTTAACTTTTCAAATAAATAATTAATAATTTATAAATGAATAAATGTAATTGTTTTTAGTTAACTTTTCAAATATAATTCAATTAAATTAATTTTTTTTTTTGTTAACATTTCAAATATTAATACAATTTTAATACAATAAAATTGTAGTATAAGAAAAATTAGATTTATTCATTCAATTGATAAAATTTTAGCAGAAGAATGAATTATGTTTTATACAAGACATGGAAATTTGAGCATAACACTTTTGTATTTATTTTTTTTTATATTTTACGTACCATTAAAAATAATAATAACAATATGTCAAATATTACGAAGTTTTATATATTTTAATATTTATGATTTAGAAGTATAGTTTAATATTAATATGTAAAATTATTTGTTTGTAAGAGTTCAATCATAATAGTTTAATTAAAAGAATTAAAAAAATAGGGGAAACTTGAAAAAAAATAATTACTTTTTTTTTTTTTTTTTGTTTTTTGGGTCAATTGCCAACCCGCCGTGTTGGCTAATGCAAACAAAATAGCAACTCGTCGGGTTGGCGGGTTGCCATATAGCAACCCGACCCGTTCGGGGGTTGCATGCGGGTTGGGTTCAACCCGGCTCGCCAGCCTATAAGACGGTCCGGGTTGAACCCTCTCTAATGCGGGCCGGGTTAGGGTTGACCCACCGAACCCGGTCCATTTGTTCCACCTTTATCCACGGCTCTACTCAGCAGCTCTCGACTAGTTGGATGAGCCCGATTGTAGGACATTTGGTAGTATTGTGTTTCGAATTATATTTGCTTTCGTTTCATGTTTGATTTTGATACTTTAATATGATTTGAGCATAATTTGTGATGAATATTGTTGTCTGTTGTGATTTAATGTTTTCATAGAACTTGCTGAATGATAAACACATAGAACTTGCTGAATGATAAACATTGGTTTGAAATAATTGAATGATGAATATTGCTTTTCATTACTTCATATCAATTGTAATTAAGTTTTGTTCGGATTTAATTTCATTTCTACTGTTGTTGCATTTATTGTGAAGTTGGTTGATTGGAAGATACGTGTTGACAAATTGTATTTGTTAATCACGTACCAACTAGTGGTATTGTCTTGTAGCGTTTATCGGCATTTAATGATAGTCTTTAACCAAACGAACTTGAGTGATTGAGTAAGACAGGATAGATTATACCTAGAGTGCCGGCAAACCATTTCATTGATTTACCTTGCCTTGTAGGTTTAGGGGATCGTAGAGGGTGGAGGAGAATTGTGTGAGTTGGTCTCGTGTCGAATCGAAACCGTAACGACAACGTTTTTATTGTAATGTCTTTATTAGTTTTAATTTTACTCTTTTATTATTTGCATTTAGTTTGTTTAGTTTCATTAATCAATTTGCCAATTTCATTTCCGCTACTCAAAATACATTAGGTTGTTAGTCTTGCTCCCTGTGGATTCGACCCTGCTTACTGCTAACTATGGTATTTAGGTTTAGTTTTGTGACTGTGACGACCAGTTCGACAATTACTTGTTACTTAAATATAATAAAAAAATTACCCTTTTAACCTCATTAAAATTAAAGATGGAGGTTACTAATCAAATTGATAGGGACTAACGATTTCCCTTAAGTGCGTGTTTGGTTGAGGGTAATCCCCAATTACTGAGGTAATGTCGTCTTTTATTACTTGATTATAACATTTGGTTGTCAAGTAATATAAGATTCCGATAATCTTCTAAAACCAATAATAGTTATTGTTGGTAATATAGAAGGTAATATGATTATCTCAATTTTCTTATGTATTTTAAGATTACTTGGTAATCTTATTTTTGTTACAATTTTATCCCTTAGGGGGCGATTGGATCATATAATGTTTTATTATAGGGGTATATTATATTAACAGAAAGAAAAATCACTTTGAAGATTATTAGGAATGTTTAGAAAATATGTTTGGTTGGTTCAAATAAATTGGTGAATAATATGTTTGGCTGAGAGGATAAATGGGTTGGTATGTTATATAGATTACTAAATTGCCTTTCTTTTTAAATATTAATATAATAATATTTTTTATTATTATTTTTTGAATCATTTCTTTTAACCCCCAACATTTGAAATTTTGCTAAAACGCCCCAGCCATATAAAACTTTAATTTATAGCAAAATCACCCCCACTTACCACAAGCCACTACCGACAGCCATCTACCACCGCCAGCCGCTATTGGTAGTCGACAAAATGGCACACGACTGATCGTATATGACTGGTCGTGCATCGACAAAGCCAAAAATGACTATGGATCACAGATCCATAATCGAAAAATGGCAAGATCTATGGTCATTTCACGGCCAAAGATGTGGTCATGAAAAGGCTAGATCTTTGGTCGTGCCATTTTACAGCCACATCTTTGGTCGTGAAATGGCCATAAGAATGTCAGATCTAGCCGTTTCTGGATTTGTGGTCGGAAAAGGCTTTACCGGGGCACGATCGTCCAAATCCCACTAGTCCTGTACCATTATGGCGACTGACCCCAACGGCCGACGGTGGTCTTGGATGGCTGGTGTTTTAGCTAATTTCTTAAATATAGGGGGGCTAGGCTAATTGTTATTTGATAGACATTTGAGGGCAATTGTGTCTGAAATGGTTTTTAATTAAGGGCATAATGGGTAGAAAAATCAGATTATCCTATTAATGTTTTACTAACACCCCCTAACAAGGTAATAAAATTATCCCCCACATTACCATCAGTAAACACTATTTGCAATAAAAGATTACCGTAATATTTTATTACTCGCAAACCAAACATCGGAATCTTGCAAAATAAACGAAGATTAATCCCATTATCTTATATACCCCGATCCAAATAGCCCCTTATTAATAAAAATTTTGGACAATAATGCCTTTATTTTGAAATTAATTTACATTAATCTGCTATTACAATTTCACCCCTATTTAATTAAATTTTTAGACAATAATGCCCTTATATTTAAAACAAATTGTAGGCCACCCAAGATCACCACCACCCACCACCCACCACCCACCACAAGTAGTAGCTGGCCAACCATAGAAGGTTGTCGCCTCCTAAAGTCATCGAAAATGACCGTCATGCGCTGATATGGCCATAGATATGGCCAGAAACGGCCAAAATAGTTCTGGCTGTTTCTGGCCTTATCAACAGCTTCTGGCCGTCGATAACGACCAGACGACTAGATTATGGCCATCAACGGCCATTAACGATGTAACAGCTTAAAGATGGACATGACTTATTACGAGCTGCCACGTCAAAATTGTGAGATTAAATTGTAAGTGTAATATTGTACTTTTTGTTTATGTAGTATTGTACTACTTGTTTATGCATGCGTTCATAATATCCTAGAGAACCATCATCCATTCTTTCGTCATATTGGAATTTTAATCGTCCAATTTCAGCAAGGAACACTACCTATCATGATGATGATGCAGGAGAGGGCAATCATTGTAAGAGGGAAAAAGGAAAATCAGGACCAGTATATGGTGTTGGTTTAAAATTAAAGACAAGGATTCTTTATTTCGGAATTGGTTTAAAATTAAAGACAAGGATTCTTTATTTCGGAAATTTATTTTTGATTCAAACTTTGGAAAAAGAACGACAATTTCAAGAACTGAAAGACAACAGCAGTAGAGAAATATTCTCTCTGTTAACAGGGAGATTATTAGGACAGCATCTGCCACAGTAAAACCCTCGACTGACTGTTTGGTTTAAAACCCAGTCACAGTGTATCCTCCATCAACGCAATAAACTTGACCGGTGATATATGAAGCCGCTGGTAAACACAGGAATGCAACCACCGCTGAAACCTCTTTAGGCTCTCCGGCACGGGAGATTGGGGTACGAGATATCATTCGTGTTATAATTTCCTTGGCTTTGGCATCTTCCTGGTTAAAGACGAATATAACTATTAAAATAAGCACCAATATTATAGTTGTAAACTAAAATGGCAACAAAGGGGCACTGCCTATTTCTGACACAATGAAAAGTACGAAGAAGGGTATAAATTTATACTTCTATGGCATCGACGAGTGAGGTTCTAATAACCGCTGGAGCAACCGAATTCACACGAATATTGTCCTTTGCCCACTCGCATGCCAGGTTCTTTGTCAATTGATTCATTGCTCCTGAAGTGAAAAAAAAAAAAGAGTTCTTGAGTAGAATTGTTACTTGCTTGGAACTAGTTATCAGTATTGCTGTTTTCCAACAGAAATAAGAAATAAGAAGAAAAAGAACTGTACCAACCTTTAGTTGAACTATAGATGGAGCATAGAGGTACACTAATTACGCCTGCGACTGAGGAATTAAATACAATGCTTCCATATTTAGATGCTTTTAGGAGTGGGTACGCCAGTTGAGACAGATGGAAAGCAGACTCGAAATTGGTTGTCATTAAAGTCGAGAAATCCTCCGCAGTACATTCTTTGGCTTCCTTAAACATACCCATTCCAGCATTGTTCACCTAACAAAGTGTTCTTTTTATCAGAAAATGATATGGTAATTGGCATCTAGATAGTCCTGCTACGAGATCATTTCATTTATAAGAATTCTTTATTCAATAAATTTTATTATTCATGATGAAAAGTACTTTTACTGAACTTCTCATAGTATGGGAGAATTTAGGGTCCGTTTGATTGATTATTCTGATACTTTTTAGAATAATATTTTGAAAAAAGTTAAATTGGGTAGGTATTACGATGTAAGATTTTGAAATTAACAAAAATACCCTCTATATTTGTATATTTACTAAACACTCCTATAATAAAATATTAAAAGTTAACAAAAACATCCCCAACCCACCCATTAAATACGGACAGCCGGCCACCACTGCCAGAGGGTGGCCGAAGTCGCCGTATCTGTGCATGACCGGTTGGATCTTACCAGTCGTGTGTCGATATGGCCTTTTTCGACCAGATCCACGGTGGATCTGGCAGGAAAATGCCAAATCTACGACTAGATCTAGCCATTAATGGCTAGATCTGGCCGCATTTGGTTGTCAACGACGGCCAAAGATACGGTCGTCGTTGACGACTAGCTACGGCCAGATCTTTGGCCAGAAAAAACTAGATCGGTGCACTATCGGCCAGATTCAGCAGGTAGTGCACCATTATACCAGATTTCGGTCAATTTTCGACAGTGGTGGCCGGAATCTAGTATAATAGCGCACTACAGGCTGAATCTGGCCGATAGTGCGTCGATCTAGCCTTTTCCGGCCAGATCTAGTGGCCGGAATCTGGTAAATATGGGTTGTTGGGGTGTTTTTTCAATTTATAAAAAAAAAATTGGGAGTGTTTAGTTAAATTAACAAATTTAGGAGAGTTTAAAAGAAATTGAATAATATAGAATAATATTTTAATAATAAACCAATTTTACTGTTTAACTTTATTGGAAAAAACCAAAATAATATTTCCAAGAAGTGTAACAAACAGAGTCTTAATATTCCACCAAATATACCCTTTAAATTGATGATTTTCTTTACTAATAGCCACGTATTGTACAAGACTACTTATTACGGGTTTTGGTTGCTAAAACTTACAAGGATGTTGAGCTTGCCATCAAACATCAAAGAGACAGTTTCCATCAGCTTCTCCCGCTCAGCTCTAATTTTCAGGTCACATACGGAGCCGCTTACTTTTAGGCCCTTGTTCTTCCATTCTTGAATTCTTTCATCGAGCTCTGTTTGGTTACGTGAACATGTGTGTACTATTGCTCCAAATTCTGCTAGTTCTTCAACTATAGCATATCTGATACGCATCAACCAAGTAGCAAAAATCATTAATTAAAATAGAATGTAAACATTCAGGATTACTAACAAAGACAACACTAACCCGATGCCTTTGGTTCCACCAGTGACAAGGGCGATCATGCCCTCAAGAGACCATCTTTGCTTTCTTACTTCCGACATTTATTTTTTTCTTTCAAATGTCGACTGCAAATTTCTTCTCAAATTTAAGTAATTAAGAATGCCTATATTTAAATGTAGGAGGCTGAAGCATGCATAGTAACGATTTGTCAAAAGAGTAATACTATAGCAATCGAAGGTTGAGCACCGAATCTGTACACCGAATGACGTGGTAAAATCCTGATCGTTTATTAATATTAACTGATAATAAATCAACGGTCAGGATTTTACCATGTCATTCGGTGCATAAATTTGGTGCACAACCTTCGGTGATTCTATCATTTTCGTTTGTCAAAAAGCTTTAGCGTTCTGTCGTCACGCAGCACTAACATAATATAAATAAAAAGCTTTAGTTTTCAAGCAGCACTAAAAATTTAAATATATTATATAAAAACATTAAAATACAATACAGAAGAAATCAATCAATCATAAACGTTAAAAATGGGCTGGCCCTACCATAGACAAATTATAAAGTGATAGTAACTAGTGGGGGACCATGAATTTTGTCCCGGCCTATGAGGTTCCGTCATTATTTGTCAATCATTTAACCAAAACTTTTAAAAACCTATCTCACCTTGAGCAATACAATATCAAGTAGCTAAAAAGGAAAAATATAATAACATAATAATTTCTTACTCACATAAATATATGAGAAGCAAAATTTTAAACAAATATATATATTAAAAATAATATTCAATTCATAAGAAAATACAAAATAAATTTACGTAGAAAAACTTTTTCGATGTAAAGAGAGCAAAAACCCTAAACCCTAAATCTTGACCTAATTTACTTTCAATTCAAATTCTTCTCTTACCAATTGATGTTATTGATGTCTTATGAAAATTTGTGATGAAATTAGAAGGGAAGAAGCAAGCCAAATAGAAAAATGAGTTGAGTTATATATATATATATATCTCTGTGTGTGTGTATGCGCGCGCGCAAGTAATGTTTTATATGATTAAGTTCTTTAAAAAATTAAATACTAAACAATTTTGCTTCCTCTTCGAACTAGACTGTCATGATCAAAGTTAAATTAATGATTCAAATTGAATTATCATCTGATTATTATTATTTTAATTATATCACATCATTGCCATTAATTAGATGATAGATTTGTGAAAAGAGTATAACATAGTTATTCAAAATTTATTAAAATTAGGGAAAGATAATGATAATTAGTAAGTAGATTATTAGTTTATAATTATATAAATTTTTAATTTTTAATTCTATTAAAAAATGGTGTAAGTTACATTTTATTAGTAGAGGGAACTGACATTTGTTAAATAATTAATTAGGTAGAGGGATGAAAGACGGAAAGGTAAGTACGTATTAAATGACAATGAGGTCAAATCATATAATTAAAAATAACAGTTAATAATGATTTGTGTGATATATTATACGGATTAAATTAGGGGAAAGGGAGAGAGGACAGAAAGTTTAAATTAATAAACACATGTAAAATCCCAAATGGAATACTTTTACATACAAAAAATTGGTTTTTATTTATGTAATTATTTTTATTTTATTTTAAATTTGACCCTCAAAGGGGCTGGTCCCTGATAGTAACCCATTAATTATAATTAAAAAAAAAAAAATCCTCTAGAATTATAGTAAATTAGTAATACAGTTATTAAGTTTTTGGTGATCACAATATGGTACTATTGTGGTGTCATCGTGCCCCAATGATCACCTACTTAAATCTTAGGAGTTAAGGGGATTTAAACCTAAGACCGTATGTCTTAATCACATATTCTAACGCTCGTCCTACCACTAGAATTATCTAAGAGCTGTACACTAAACATATAACATGAGACAAAAATATTTATGTTATTTTTTAAATAACAAATCAAAACCTTAATCATTTCTAATATGGTCAACCACTCCCCTTCATTTATCCATTAACCAATGTCTACATTTAATTATGAAAGTAGTCCATGCTCCTTAAATATTAATGAAATCAATAATATAAGTTGAGATCAGAGTGAATATGATTCTTTGTGTTGCTATCACATTAATTAAAGTACACAATTATCTTACATCCTATAATCTAAATAATGACATGAGTAGAAATCTGAACATTGTATTCATAAAATTATTCCTTTATTAAAAACTATCATAATAGGTTTTTTTGATAATTGACCATAATTATTAAATAAAAATAATATTATTGTGGTTACTATGTGAGTAATTTTTTTATTATGATGTAGTCATACCTTCCATTGTTTATTCTCATTCAAAGAGCTTATTTAAAGAAGAATGTTGGGTCTATATAGCATTACTCTTTAGTCTTTAGCAATACCACCAACATTTTTAAGTAGGCCCACATCTTCTTAGAAGGTCCAGTTGATAAAATATGAATCAATAAGTATGAAGCCCAAACCAGAGAATCTGAAAATTTTGAAAGGTTAAAATTCATTAGCTAATGGTCTCTCAAAGTAGCAGACATTGCTAAATTCTGTTATGTGACAAGAATTTATATGCAAAGTACAACCGTTCACTCACGCAGACACCTCAGTCACAGGGAAAAAAAAAAAAAAAACCAGCAGTACAGAAGGGAGATTATTAAGAAGCATCTGCCATAGTAAAACCCTCGACTGGCTGTTTGGTTTAAAACCCGCTGACAGTGAGTCCTCCATCAACGCAATAAACCTGCCCGGTGATATATGAGGCCGCTGGGAGGCATAAGAATGCTACCACTGATGAAATCTCATTAGGCTCTCCAGCCCGGGGGATTGGAATGCGGGATATCAAATGATTCATTATTTCATTGTTTTTTAAATCTTCCTGAATCGAGAAAAATAAACATATTAATGTAATGTAAGCACCATTTCTTCTAAAGACAGTACATTAATCAAGTGCTATGATGATAACAGTGAGGCAGCTCTGAAAAACATAAGCGGGTATTTTGGATTTTCAGTCCTTTTGAAATACTCTTTTCAAATTAATTCTAGTTTAACTTAAAAGAGTGAAAAGGCATGGATTTATACTGTTATAGCACGTTTGAGTGGGGTTCTGGTAATCCCTGGTGCAACAGCGTTGACACGAATATCGTCCTTTGCCCATTCACATGCCAAGTTCTTCGTCACTTGATTTATTGCTCCTGAAGTGGAAAAATTGTTGATTAAATTGGTTAGATATATAACTTGCATGGAACCAGTTTCCAGTATTGTTGTTTAATTTCTCATATAAAGAGAAAATTTAGAAAGATTGAACTTTACCTTTAGTTGCGGCATAGACAGAACATAGAGGTAGAGCTATTACACCAGCTGCAGAGGATATAAATACAATGCTTCCATTTCCAGATGCTTTTAATAGCGGATGAGCAAGTTGAGATAGATGATAAGCAGACTCTAAATTGGTAGTAGTTAGAGCCGAAAAATCCTCTGCAGTGAATTCCGTGCTTTCCTTGATAATAGCGGTTCCAACATTGTTGACCTAAGAAAATTATGTGGTATGAGAAAACCTTAAATTTGGAAAAGCAAAAGACCCTAAAAGCAGCATGCTAAACTTACAAGGACGTTGAGCTTGCCGTCAAACATTAAAGAGACGGTTTCCATCAGCTTCTCCCGGTCAGCTCTAACTTGGAGGTCACATACGGAGCCGCTTACTTTAAAGCCCTTGTTCTCCCATTCTTTAATTCTGTCATTGAGCTCTGTCTGGTTACGTGAACATGTATGTACTGTAGCGCCAAATTCTGCAAGTTCTTCCACTATAGCATAGCTGGTGCATAAAATATTCAAAATCATTTGAAACAATAAAAATAGAATTTAAATAATCAGAAATCCATTGAAGAGAGCTCTCACCCTATGCCTTTGGTTCCGCCAGTGACAAGGGCAGTCATACCCTTGAGAGACCATCTTTGGTTTCTGAAGTCTGACATGTTTTTTTCTCAATTTTAACTGAAAATGTTCTTTCAAATCTGCCTCCAAGTAAATAACAATTGCTAGTATTTATATGTAGGAGACTGAACTTGTACAACAGGAATTTGTCAAAGAAAATGTTACACGTGCCTTTGAACTCAATAAATAAAATCGTTAAAGTCATCTTAAAAACATTTAAAGTACAGAAGAAATCATCTTAAAGAAGTATAGATACAGAAAACTTCATTATGAAAATATAATCACAGAGAAAGTCTTCTTAGGAAATTTATATTACAGAAGAAAACGTTAAAAGTCATAGCCTATCTTTTGGATTCTCTAGAACTGTCTCACTTGCTCTCCAAGAAAAAATTTGAGATGCCCGCGTAAGAGATGATGGAACTTTAGAAAGATTGAGAAATTTATTAAAGGAAAATAATAGAGTCACCGATGGTAGTGCACCGAATTTGTACACCGAATGACGTAGTAAATTCCTGACCGTTGATTAATATTAAGTTAAAATTAATCAAAAATCATGATTTTATCACGTTATTCGATGCACAAATTTGATGCAATACCGTCGATGGCTGTAGCAACATCGAGCTGATTACTTAAATAAAATTGGTGGTTTAATGCCAGCTTTAACCAATTAGCTAGTCCACATTGTTGGAGTTGGAGTTAGCGACCACTTTAACAATAGGAGTAGCACCACGAGATCTCAGCTCGGATTCTTCTAGGATTAGAACTTCTAATAAGGTTGGCCTTAGAAATAAAGATCTAATTATATTAGGTTTCTCTTCATAACCAGACAGATTCAGGATTTTTGGTCAGGAGGTCTTCGTGACTCCGTCATTTTTACCAAATAATTAGTAAAAACTTTAAAAAATCACCAAACCTTACGCAAAGAAAATAATATAATATCGAAAACTTAAAAAAAAAAAAATGCAATAACACAATACTTTCATACTTGAATAAATTTATGAGAAGCAAAATTTGGAGTAAATGTGTTGAGTAAACCTTAAGCAAAACCTTCTTTCAATTTTAATTTTTTATTTTTGGCTTCAAAAAATTATAATATAAATTTTCATAACTTTTATCAGACTTAACCTAAACTACAATCAACCAAAATTTAAATCGAGTTAACGTTGTGTTAACTTTTAATATGAATTAATAAACAAAAAGGAAATTTTATTGGTACAAACATAGATAGTAACTCAAATTTCTTTAATGATTTTGAGCAATTGAATGGTGACGTTTTAAATGTAGGAAAGTGGTGAGTGAAAGGTGAAGAATAACATCCTTTAAAATATAGTTAAGGTTTTAATTTGGGAAAATATAAACATTTTTAGACACAAAATACAAAAAAATCCATTTCTTTTTCCCTCAAATTAGAATAAAAAACCTCCAAATTAAAAACAAGCATTATTCAACCATAAAATAAACTAAATTGAAATGAACAGTACACATACCTAAAATTGATAAAACAAAAAATGGAGTTAATTGTGAGATATTGAGTAGTGAAAACTTCAATAATTTTAGTCTTCAAAAGTTTTAAGAGCGAATAGCATGAGAAAGAGAAGGAGAAAGTAAATAATTTTAGGGACAAAATCATAAAAAACAAGATGGAGCCGTGGAGAAGAAGAGTGGAGAGAGTTTTAAACTTTTAATATAATATGGGCTTGAGATATATATATTAAGAGCAAGTTTTTTATGGGTTTAGATATATGTATAATATTTCTTATTTAAAAAATAAAAAAAAAAATCTGAAGGTAGACCTAGATATATATAATAATAGCAATTTTTTGTGAGTCTATACATTAGTATACATATTTTTTTTAATATGAGGGTAAGACCTCAAAGTGGTTGGATTCGCCCCTGTTTATAACCTAATATATAAAAAACATTATTCTCTTGTATGAGTATGATATTAGCAAATCATAGCAAATACATTCATTGTAATAAAAAAAGTGAGAAAATATTTCAATAATATTGATTATGTTAGACGTAATCTTGATTTGAGTGAATTAATAGACAGCTTAAATGACCAATTACATTGATTGGGTCAACTCTATAAATTGTGCCTTGTATTTATCAAGACCACATGTTTTGCCTATAATTATGAGCTTACATTTCTCCTTGTATTATGTAACTACTGGTGTATATATATCCGTGTAATTCATGAATGAAAAGTGTCAGAGTTTTATCATATAACTGCTATCATTATATGGTATTAGAGCTACCCTAAAACTCCAATGAGTTTTATACCTCCATTTTTTTTTTTTTTTTTTTTTTTTTTTTTTTTTTTTTTTTTTTTTTTTCTCAAAATGGCTGATAATGACTCTGGTGATACCTCACTTGTTAACCCCACCATTGTTATGGCTGGTGGAAACACATCCCAAAACACTCTCATCACACTGAATACAGCCTCCCAATTACCTCTCAAATTAACTGGCAGCAACAATTACCCCACATGGAAGGCACAAATCACCACACTTCTTTATGGCTATGATCTAATGGGCTACATCGATGGCTCCTACCCTTGCCCACCTATGATGCAGCAACAAGACAAAGACAAAGCCATCCTCAATCCTGAGTACAAGCTCTGGACACGTCAAGACAGCCTCTTGAGAAATGCTATTATGGCTTCTGTTGATGCTACCATTGCTCCAACAGTAGCTTCAGCCACTTCTGCTAAACATGCTTAGGAGAGTCTGAGCACCACCTGTGCAAATAGCTCGCAGACTCACATCTATGGTCTTCGCCAATCTCTTGCACAAATCGTCAAGGAAAATAAAACAGTCGCTAAGTACATGAGGGCCATCAAATCGGTTGCCGATGAACTTGCCGTTGTTGGCTCACCTCTCAACAATGGTGAACTTATTGTCAAGGTCATGCGCGGATTGGGACCTGACTACAAAGAAATCAATGCTGCAATCCAAGCACGGGACACATCCATCTCATTTGAAGCATTATTTGACAAGCTTGCTGACCATGAGATTTTCCTAAAGGATGAAGAAGCTAAAAAGGAAAGCCCGACAATCACAGCTCAACTTAATCTAAAAGGAAGCAACAATAAAGCAAAAGACAACCACTCCAATTACAAGAGAGGGCAAGCATCTAATTATGGTACTCATTTTCAAGGCCACCATTATCTAGTCAATCGGAATACACAAGGTAATTACTTTTTTCATCAAGGCAATAGAAATTTCAATCATAACCAGAATTGGCGTCCCTCAATCAATGGCAACAATCAAAGGCGCATCCAATGTCAACTCTGTGATAAATTTGGACATGTGGCAAAGGTATGCAGATCACAACCTCCTCCTTACTTGGAACCACAAGCTAACTTCATGGCTCGAGGATCACCAAACTTCAACAACAATTGGGTGATGGATACTGGTGCTTCTCACCGTATCACATCTGATTTGCAAAATCTATCTGTGCACTCTGAATATGGTGGTAATGACGACATAATAATTGGCGATGGTAACGGTATCCCTATAACTCATACTGGCTCTTCTAAATTAATTACTGAAAATTTCAATTTTATGCTTAACAATGTTTTGTGTGCTCCATCTATTCATAAAAATTTACTTTCCGTCTCACAATTTTGTAAGCATAATCACCTCTATTGAATTTTTCCCTACTTTCTTTGTGGTGAAGGATCTGCACATGGTGGCACCACTCATCCAAGGCCGGAGTAAGGGAAATTTGTACCAGTGGCCAACTTCCTCATCTATCTCTCAACCTCTCTTCACTTCCACACATCAAGCCTATGTCACAACCTCTACCAATAAAGCATCCTTAAATCAATGGCATCATCGCCTCGGTCACCCTAGTCAGCGCATTCTCAATTATGTAGTCTCAAGTCAGTCCCCTCCAGTATCTAAGTCATCTTTGGAAAGTTGCAACTCTTGTTTATGTAATAAAAGCCATCGACTTCCGTTCAGTGTTTCATCTGTTACGAGTTCTAAACCAATTGAACTCTTTTACACTGATGTTTGGGGACCTGCTCCCATTACATCATTTGACAAATTTCGATATTATGTGATATTCATTGATCACTTTACAAAATATATTTGGCTCTATCCTCTCAAAAAAAAAAAAAAAAAAATCAGATATCACATTGATCTTTGAAAATTTTAAGTCATTAGTAGAAAAATATTTTCAAACACCAATCATCACAGTTTATTCTGATGGTGGTGGAGAATATGAAGGACTCCATCCTATTCTTTCCAAACATGGAATTCAACACCTATATTCACCTCCATACACTCCACAAATCATGGGTACTGCAGAATGACGACATAGGCACATAGTTGAGATTGCGTTGACTCTCCTCCATCAAGCCTTTATGCCTCTCAAATTTTGGTCTGTTGCATGTCAAATAGCTATTTACCTAATTAATAGGATGCCCACCCCAAATTGAGGTAATCAATCTCCATTTGAGAGTTTGTTTCACACGCATCCCAATTACACCAAATTAAAAATTTTTGGACGTCTATGCTACCCTTGGCTCAAATCATACACACACCACAAACTAGAACCCAAATCTAATCCGTGTGTGTTCCTTAGCTATTCCCTCTCCCATAATTCCTATATATGTTATGATCCATCACTATCAAAAATTTTCACATCACGACATGTCATTTTTGTGAAAAATGTATTTCCTTTTCAAACCATTCAATCACAAGAATCACGCGTTCATAATGATATTTTCCGTAATTGGCCTACTTTACACCCATCCACCCCACCCACTCATATTCCTACTTTCACTCAAACACATACTGCACCCAATCCCATTTCCCATGATATTATCCACTCTCAAAATTCACCAGCTCATTATTCCATTCCAATCCCCACACATAATACAAAAACAATTAATACTCCACGTGATTCCCATTCTTCCACATCTAACAATATTCTTCATGATAATAATCCTACCATTTCCCCTTCACACTCAAGTACTTCTTCTTCAGACTCCCATGCTACGACCTTGGCAAGTGATCCCAGTGCATCCTCACCTACACAGGTAAGTTCTTCTTCCCCTATTCC